CAACACAACTCAGACTAAAAACACGTGACTAGCCTGACTAGAATGCAAGTATATTCACACTTCAAGAGTCAATAACAATCACACAAAATAATAAGGGTAGGGAAATATATAACAATTCTAACACCTGTCAGATTATTTACTAGTCTGACTATTCAAACAACCAACTATTATCATCCTCACCCACACATCAGTTATAATAGTATTGTACTCAAAATGGTACCTGGGAGGTTCTAAGTTCAGTCCAGAGCGGAGCCATTGGTTTATATTGTTGATGAGTTTCAGGAAAATACGAGACATATGTACAGTATTGGTTGATATACACTGGTTTCCCGGTTAGTTTTAGTTCCTGTTAAAAACTAGCTTTAACTAGAGGGATTTGTACATAATGTGTCTATTTTGTAGGACATCTACTTAACTATAACGGTTATATTTGAATAACAAGGTAAATTTTTAAAATAACCACAATTCGATCTAAACATATTGTCATATATCCAGTCTTTAAGCAAATAGCGTTAATCAAGTAGTGTCATATACAGAAAATCACTATACGTAACTGTGGTGGGTTTGAGCACCATATTAATTCATTTAATAGTCATGGCTATACATTAAAGAACCTGAAATAGTTTTGATGTAACTATTTTGTAAAGATCATATCTGGGCAGCATCATTGATAAACACGGTAGACCTGATGCAGATGTGAGGGCGAGGATCGGCAAAGCAAGAGCAGCATATTTACAACTAAAGAACATCTGAAACTCAAAACAATTGTCAACCAACACCAAGGTTAGAATTTTCATTACAAATGTCAAGATAGTTCTGCTGTATGGGACGGAGACGTGGAGAACTACGAAAGCCATCATCCAGAAGATACAGGTGTTTATTAACAGTTGTCTACGCAAGATACTTCGGATCCTTTGGCCAGACACTATCAGTAACAACCTACTGTGGGAGACAACAAACCAGATTCCAACGCAGGAAGAAATTAAAAAGAAGTGCTGGAAGTATATAGGACGCACATTGAGGAAATCACCCAATTGTGTCACAAGACAAGCCCTCATATGGAATCCTGAAGGCCAAAGGAGAAGAGGAAGACCAAAGAACACATTACGCCGAGAAATGGAGACAGACATAAGAATGAACAAAAGTTGGATAGAATCAGAAAGGAAGGTCCAGTACAGAGTGGGTTGAATAATGCTGGTCGGCGGCCTATGCTCCATTGGGAGCAACAAGCGTAAGTAAGTAATTTTGTGAAGATTATTCTTTTTGTAGGTGGCATTCTCAACAGAGTGACACCATTTGAGGTACCACTGGAAACCATATAACATTGAATAGCTGTTTCATTCTAGCTTACATCCCAAGACCGCATGAGATTCGAATGTCTTGAGTTCGATCCTAGGACCAAACAGCTTTATGCTACTTCTTAGTCTTCAATGTTTTTTTCAAAGTGAGTTCAATCTATGATGAATATTATTTGTAAAAAGAAGTGAAATAATTATATATTTATTCTATTTTCATTTACTATCAATATGCTCACTAGTTACTGACTTCGAGAAGTAAATCCTGGAGTTCTAGTGAGAAGCAGTGACCAGTGGAGTTCAAACCACGTCTGTTGTGAGATATCAACTCACTGAAGACAATTGGTGAACGGTTGCCCAACTTTGTAGATTGGTTGAAGTTAGAAATTAACACCATCGGATGCCGGCTCAGTGATCTGTCGCTTAAATGCTCTGACGCGAGACTGGTAGGTCCTGGGTTCGAATCTCGTGAGGCAAGGTCGTCGATGCTCACTGCTGAGGAGTCCCACAATAGGACGAAACGGTCGTCTAGTGCTTCCAGGTTTTCCCTAGTGATCTAGCTTCAATTGCCTCACGCTTTCAACTATATCAATATATCACCTAATACATACATAAACACACACACACACACATAAAAACAGTTAAAAAGATAAACATGAATACCTATAAGCATTAATCATTTAAACTAATGCATATCAACACATATGGTAAGATTTTTTTTCTCGATTTCCATAAGTAAACACATTTTCGTTTTACACAGTCAAGTAGGAATACATTATGATTACAATAACTACTAGTACTGTCACCTTAAAATCGTTTGTTGATATATGGATATAAAATAGAATGCCCAGATGTTTCTGTCATATAAACATTTCAATGAATGTACTACATGTGTTTATTATGAGTAATGATATGAATTACTATGATATTAGTTATACAAAAATAGATTTCTTGTCCTTTGGAAAGTCTAGACAAGTGGACAGTATAAAATAAATAAACAACAATAACAACAACAAATGAACCTTGTCAATATCTGTTAAATGTAAACATATATATATGAAATAAATATCAGTTTGTTGGGTCGAAAAAAAAATTCACGGGTAATAAAATCAGATTTTTAGTAGTAGTATATCAAATATGTTTTATGAGGTATATTTTTATAGTTGAAAGCATGGGTCAATTGAAGCTAGACCACCAAGGAAAACCTGAAAGCATTGAGAGGCCGTTTTGCCCCGCTAGGGGACTCCTCAGCAGTGTGCATCCACAATCCCGCCTCAAGAGATTCGAACCAAGGACATATCAGTCTCGCGTCAGAGCACTTAACCAATAGACCACTGAGCCGGCCAGCATCCGATGGTGTTAATGTCTAACTTCAACCAATCCACGAAATTGAGCAACCATTCACCAATAGTCTTCAGTGAGTTGATATCTCACAACAGATCTGGTTGAACTCCACTGGTTACTGCTTTCCACTAGGACTCCAGGAAATACCCCTTGAATCCAGTGACTAGTAAGCATATGTTGATTAATATCAGAAAGGGTTTTTGTGGATATTCTAATCTCGCGAGGCGGAATCGTGGATACACACTGCTGAGTCCCACAATATGACGAAACGGCCGTTCAGTGCTTCCAGGTTTTCCATAGTGGTCTAGCTTTAATTAACTCATGAATCAGACTATCAAATTACTATAATCGCCATAAAACCACTTTCTGAAAATGAAATTTGTTATCAATTTTATTAACATTGTCAACTCAATCTATTCTCAAATTAAATCTACATTAACTATAGCTTCTCTCCATTAAACAAGTAATCCTGGAGTGAAATAACACATATGGTATGATAATTTACAAAAGAGAATAACATCATCATTTAGAATAGATCTAGTAACTAAAACTTCAAGTCACGTGTCTATTTCCTAAACATAACAATTATGTCATCAAGTTGAAAATTTTTAGACACATGATTGTTTACCGAGAAACTTCATCTTAGCATGTATTCAGGATCACATAAAGGGTTGGACATAGTCAGTTAGTTACTAAGTTATTATGGAATATAGAAACTGGTATAAGTATGCGTGGATAAAAGTTGAAACACCACAAAACTGTGGTGAGACGAAATAGTTAACGATCATGAAAAATATATGCTCAAAGAGAACTTATCAGATTAAAGAATGAGATGTTAGGAATGAAACTCAATTCAAAATTGATCGGAAGATAGATAATGATTACAACTTCACCACTTAGACTGATTTTGCTAAAGGTCAATAAACATCAACCATAATTGAAATTTACCTAGTATTGTTTGTTTGGCTCTTCCCATTGATGTTTTTAGGACTGCAACTGGTTAGTCTCTAATTGGCATTTCAACTTCACCCCATTGCATAAGCAAGTGGCTATCAGGACTCAGTGGCTGAGTGCATAACGCGATGACGTTTGAAGCAAAAGGTACTGGGTTCGAGTCCCAGAGTGAACATCAATTCTGAGATGCAGGTATATCCAGCCGACCAGTTCCAAATAGGACGAAAAGGGCGTCAAACTGGGTTACACTGCTAGCCATTGTCCATCTTTGCTTATCAAACATACTTGTTTACAAATATTGTTTGGTATTTATTTATTTATGTAAACACATCAACGTTAGTACAAGAAGGCACCAAATATAGATGCGCCGCACTTCATCATTAGATTTCTATGAGGGCTAGCATACTTTCCGGGTGTCAAAACGGAAGCAGGTGGTTTCCTTATGTAGCTACTTCCTGAGCCTTCAACCTATAAGTCGAATTCACTAGAAGGTGCAGTTCCATGGTAGTCGGTGACCAACCATAGATTCATACGTCATTTGTTTACTTAGATTCATTGAGCTCATGCAAGCCATTGGTTTAAAATCAGGATTTCCCAAATCCCCTTAATGAATATTCAGTACCCACCAACTTGATTGAAGCGCCGGGCATTCGCTTTCCGTTCTCTCAATTTCGTAAACAACATCGTCACCGCGAGAAAGTAGTGAGTAGGACTTCCCTGTTTATTAAAATTTCTGACAAACCAAAAGGAATGAAGGAAATTTATTTCCTTCGGCACTCATGTATATAAATATGTGAGGAAATATATGTTGTTCTCTGTGATATTTGTACTAAATGCTTCAAATGAGCTACTGACTGATAACTTTTTACGGTTTTTATTGGTTTATGGTTATGTTTATTTGAGATGTCATTACCAAGTAATTGATTGGTCTAGAAGCAAGGGATTACTAATGTGTATTTAGAAGCATCAATTTGATATCTGGGACTAACAGGCACTAACTATATACTCAAATTAAACATGTAAATAGAGCATCACCATAAACTAGTTATTGGTATTATTAACCAAATATTTAAAACCGAAAAAGTTAGAAATGTATAACTTAATTAATTAATCAGTCAGGAACAAAAATAAAATAATGATATTAAAGTTAGATTTATAAAGTATTAGATCCCTGTTCAGCCGTCTGGAGGTTAGAGGTTCGTGCTTGAGACTGGGTGCGACTCCCGGTTACGATTTCGTAGATGCACACTGCTAAAGAGTCTCAAACTAGGACGAAACGATCGCTTAATGTTTCTAGGTTTTAAATAGGTTTTTTTATTAAAAAAAATTAGATTGATTCATGAATTTAATAAAACCTTAAAATCTCAGCAATCCAATACTAAAATTGAACAGACAAAAACAACTCACTTGTACAACTTCTACAGCAGATTTAACATTTTCCATTATACTAGCATGATAATTTATTCTTTCTAATTCAGGTGGATATTCATTAATATCATCAATTTTTATAATAAGTTCCCGATTAGATGAACGTGGTGGTATACCATAATCTGTACATGCTATATTCACTGTTATATATGGTTCTAATTCAGCATCAAATGATCTTGTTGTTAATAATGTATAATGATTACCAGTTTGTGTTAATTCAAATGAATCAATATTAGTAGTAGTAGTAGAAGTAGTATTTATTGCATTATTAGATATATCAAGTATATTTGATATAAGTTGACATTGAACTCTACCATTATCATTTAAATCATTATCTGTAACTTGTAATACACATACACGTATATTAGCAGAATTTTCTAATATAGTTAATTGTTTACCTTCCATTGGTGATATCATTTTAATTAATGGACTATAATCATTTATATCTTGTACAGTAATAATAACATTTGCTGTATCTGATGATGTAACTGGTATCGTTGATGCTACTGCTGCTGCTGCTGCTGCTGATGATGATGATGTAACATCACCCCATTGAATTTGATTATTACTTAATACTTCACTTACACTTACTATAAAACGATATTCTGAACGTTGATGTGCTGCTAAACGTGATTGTAATATTAAATGTCCTGAATGACTATCTAAACGAAATGTTTTCTTTAAATTATAATCTAAATCATTTTGTATTTGAAAATTCATTTGTCCATTCACATGAGAATCTTTGTCTATTGCATTTAATATTAATATAGTTTGTCCAATTGTAGTATTTTCTGGTATATTCAATTCATATAAATGTTTAATAAACATTGGTTTATTATCATTTTCATCTAAAATTTGTATAGTTAAATTTTGTTGTGTACAATATTGTTTATCACATGCTTCAATTATACCATTACAATGGGTCATAGATTCATAATCTAATAATTGAATTAAACGTAAATAAATATTAGGTAAATTAGTTTGATCTAATTCAAAATATTTTTTTAATTCTATTCCATAAATGATATAACGTTGTATTTGATTCTCTAATGATAGATCTAAATCAATTGCTGGTGTTAGCTGAATCATTGTACCAATTTTAGATAATTCAGATATTTTGACTACTTGTTGTTGTTGATTATGAGTAGTAGTAGTAGTAGTAGCAGTAGTAGTGAATTGTGGTTTATGATCATTTATATCTTCAATATATAAACTGATCTGAATAAATTTCATTTCATTAGAATTTAATTCTTCAATGATGATATTAGATGCTAATTCACATAATTGATTATAATTACAACATAGAAATTGTTCTATACATAATAATTCAATATCAATAATTTTAATTAATTGTATTAAACCATTATGGGTTATATTAAAATAAATAGAATCTGATGTAATTTTTGATTTTAAATATAAATATTGAGTAATATTACCAATAGTTGTATATAATGATGATTGTTCTTTAATTTTTAATTGAATATTAATTGATTTATTATTAATAAATGCATAAATATAATGAATAATTAAAAAAATAAAAAAAATATATATTTTTAATTTCATTGGTTTATTGATTTATTATTTTTTTTTTAGAAAAAAAAAGAAAAAAGGAGAAAAAAATTGAATATTGTCACTTTTATACGAAAGTTAACAAGATTAGATTATCCACCATGTGTTGAAACATCATTAAAAATGCATATATTTGAAGTGTATAAAAATAAACAACGAATATTATTATTATTATTATTATTATTATTAACCAATCAGAAAAGAGGAAATAAAATAACCAATCAGAAATGAGTAAAATAAATCAGCTGTTGTTTTGTAGTAAGACTATAATTTATGAATGAACCAATCAGATTTAAGAGAATAGGTCTCAGGTTTTTGAAGTGAGATTTCATTTATTTATATGGATAAATAAAGTTTTGATATTATAGATGATGTCAGTTAATGATGAAAAACTTAAATATGAAATGTAAATCATAATTCGAACACTTCACACAGGTTTATAACCCTCACTTGGTGCTAGTTATTATGTGAACACTCTCAAGATCACTCTAGCATCCCTCAAAGGTCGTTCATAATTTATAGTCTCACGATCTTCGCTACTATAAATCTATTGAAAGCAATAATAACCAATGAATCATCATGACTTTCAATTCATTATAATAACTTAAAGCAATTAAAATTCATTATATATAGTTGAGAACATAAGTATATTGAAGCCAGACCACCATAGAAAACTTGGAAGCACTGCTTAAAGGCCGTTTCGTCTCAATGGAGGACTCCTCAGCACTGCGCATCCGCGATCCTGTCCCGTGCGACCTGAACCCAGGACATATCAGTCTCATGCGCGAGCACTTGAACGCTAGACCACTTAGCCAGCATCCAACGGTGTTAATGGCTAACTTCAACCAATCTACGAATTTGAGCAACCATTCACCAATGTCTTCAGTGAGTTGATATCTTCCAACAGACCTGGTTGAACTCCACTGGTTACTGCTTCTCACTAAAACTCCAGGAAATACCTCATGGAGCTAGTCACTAATAAGTATATGATCATTAACAGAAAGGGGTTTTGTGGATATTATGGTAATTTTAATAATTGAGATCTATGATGAAGATGATTAAGTGAATAAATTGTTTGGTTCGTACTTTTTATGTAGAAAAATTAAAGTGCATAAATGAAATGAAATTTAAGATATTTGTATTGAAATTATTAGGCGATTAAAAATGTGATGAGTGAAGTGGTTAAATCAACATGGAAACATTTATTTGTTTATATAATGTCAAGATGAACAATCCACTTCAACAGTATCATACTGTGTTTATCAGATATGTTTATGAATTGGTTGTTATGACTTTAGATTTATAATTCTTTTGATGCGTGTATTCTTCAATATTTTCCATCCCCTCATTTCTTAGTCTTAAGTACCATGTTTTATTTGTAGGAACATTGTTTTCAGAGAATTTCAGTTTTATACCTGATGTTTCACAATGAAAATAGTCAAAAATATGTAAAGCTCTATAAGGTTTAATCTATATGTTATTTCACATCATTATGTTGCTAACTATGACATACACTAAATATGCACATATAAGTGAATTGTATAAGGAGTTGGAGACTACCTCATTCCATCGATGTGACTTGTTTGGTAGTTGGGTTACAGTGATTTAACAATAGGAGATCAGGTAAACGTAGGATTATTTAATTATGTCTACATATTCGATTTCTGTAAACAGCCTAAATTTAACAAGATGATCTGAATAGATCAGTGTTTTAAAGTAGATATACAACTTACAAATTATTTATGAATTTTCCAGTTCATTTGCTGATGTGAAAGATTGAAGGTGATCCAATGAATTTATTCAAGTGTAAAACTGATACAATAATCTGTACGGTTAGGGAATAATTGCTTGTTACTGAAATCACATTTAAGGAAATTAACCATTCGGTGGTTTTTTAATATTCAATTACTCGTTTCTTTTAGCTATATAATTCTTATTTCGAAAGAATTGGAAATCAATCTTTGGACTAACTGTTTCATCACAATCTTCCAAGATAGTATCACATAGTTCAGTGAATAAAATATTTTAGAGACATTATAAGCGAAGATGGATAGTGATTAGCAGTGGAATCCAGTTTGACGCGCGTTTCGTCCTATTTGGAACTCGTCAGTTGGATGTACTTGCATCCTAGAGTTGATATTCACCCTGGGACTCGAACACAGTACCATTCGCTTCAAAAGCTATAGCGTTATACACCTAGTTACTGAGGCACATCCAACTGACGAGCCCCAACTTGGACGAAACGCGCGTCAAACTGGATTCCACTACTAGCTACTAACTACTATCTTTGCTAATAATGCTTGTGAATTAAGGCTATATCGAGGCAATATGCACAGTATGCACATATGCCAATAAGAGACTGATTAATTGCAGTCCTAAACATCAATGGGAAGATTCAAACAAACAATACCAAATGTATTTTAAAGATAGCTTATCCTATACAGGTCATTAAAGTTTTCAATGAATCATAAGCAAAATGATATTTGATTTTTATTATCACAACTATGTACTTTAAGATTTCGAGTATTAATTTCGAACCGCTTTTATTAAGTTCACCAGTCAATGATTACTATTGAAGATTTATACTATCTTATGCTGATATCATGAGGAGCAATTAACGTTAGATACATCTCAAAATTTTGGCTTAATCCTCATCAATTTTTTTTACTGCTTGCTTATTTCATTCAAAGTTACTTTTATCATGTAGTTACTAAGAATTTTATGCATATAAACTTGGTTACTTTATTTAAGGCAATATTTAACTTGACCAATCAGTGGACAGTATTTTCTTCCAAGTATGAGACTCATTAGTGACGTACACCCACGATCTCATCGTACCTGGTCTTGTGGCGATTATTAAACCCTTGAACCGCTAAGCAGGGCCCAATGGTTTACATATTCAACTTCAAAAAGTTCGTGATATTAAGCAATCTTTCAGTGTCATTAGTGACTAACTGTCTTACACTCAAGATATTTGAAGTCTACTAATCACGAATCCCCACTAGAAGTCAAGGAATCACGCCTGAACATTTTTCTCAAGTGCATCATTAGATGCATGTTCATTGCTTTAAAGATTAAGCTCACATCGAGACACAGATGGTTACTGATTCGATCCTCAGTAGTATAGCGAATTCGCTTTGCTTTTATTCATCTTACTTAATTTAGCACAAAAATACTGTTATTTTGCTATTAATCAATGATATGTTTACCACCAGGACGATAATAAATGTCATTTATTTTTAAGATTAAACACCAGTCATCTTACGAAATAACTAATTATTATAGTTAGTATAAATGACAACAGACTTTCATAGATTCCGGTGAGACTATATTTTATGATCGACCTTGAGAGTGTCCACCTACTAACGAAAAATAAATGAGGGTCATAAACCAGTGCGAGGTATTAAGACTATGATTTTCAGTTAATGGTTAGGTTTAGGAATTAGATTAAGGGTTTCCATAACGAGATGATATCAGTTATAATGTCAAAATGCTATTTAGCCAAATGGATGAATGAATTTGCGCCAAAATCCAGTAATTGTTATCGTAAATCTGATTAGTCCGTCCATTAATTATAGTCTCTCCACAGATCCCTAATCCACTCAGATTAGTAATGAGTAAGAATTCTCGAAACAATGCACAATTTCGAGAGAAAAAGTTGTGTGACGAAAACTTTTTTCTATCAGGAGAAGATTTGCAGCTCAGGTGGATGTTTTTTATGGTTTTGTGTTCTCTGAGCTAGATGACTAAAGTGAGGAGTTCTCCCCATCCAGGAAACTCTGAAAATACCGGAAAATCTCTGGAAGTATAATTTTCAGATCAATAAACACATTAACATATATAGATAGATAGATAGACATAGTTAGTCAGCAGACTAAAGGTCAATCGTAAAAGGCAATCAGTATGAAATAGAAGAACAAATGAAGGGAATAAACCAAAGAAGATGACCAATTACAAATAAGGGCATCATAATAAACTAATGTAATGCTTTTGTGAAAACCTAAGAGTTCACTTCTACGCAAATTAAGAGTTGACGATGTTGTTCAGAGTGACAACAAATGCTCCACAAGTAGACCATATAGATTACAGAACCTGACACCTCCAAAAATTTCATGAAATTATTTTTGAATCTTCCAGTATGGCTATTGTTACATACTAAATACTGTGATTAGAAATTTATAACATCTGATAACTATTTATTGATTTGAACACATAAACATTAGTACAAGAGGGCACCAATTAAATATGCACCACACAGTAAGAACAAGGTTGTGAAGAAATAGAAAATGCAAAGTGTGTGTTACGAATTTAAGAAGATAAAAACACCGTATGCCAATTTGTTGTGATTTTATGTCCAGCTTTTTATCACGTGATTTATCCACCAATCGAAATACGACATGTCTAATCTTAACACTGTGACAAATCAATGACGTTTGACAGGTATGAGCAGTCTAGAGTCCTTATTGGTCCTTTGTCCGCCTAGCCCTTCCAATTGAGTCCAAAACACCAATTACAGCTTCTGCTATGCGAATCATTTATTTCAAGCATACTCGGTTTATATATCAGACAGGCAGACCGCATCACACCATAAAATAGAAAATAATATTTGTACAAAATCAAGCCAAATGTGGCTGTGAACGTGGGATACAATAATCAATAAACTGAATCTAGGGACAGTAATTCTTATAATAATGATCCATGGGTCAAAATGAAGCTTTTAGTAAGACGAATATAGATATACACAATCTAATTACTCAATAGTTAAACATTAAGAATATATTTAGAATAATAGTCCATTAATAAGTCCCAGAAGTTACCTGTACTTATGTCTTCACTAGGATAATAATAATAATATATTCTGAAAATATTATTTACAGAATTCACACCAGTTTACAGGCATGATCAGATTGTTATAAAAATCAACATTTAATGTAGAGAGCAAACATGAAATATAAGAAAGTTTTATGTCCGCTGGTTTAGTAATTGATAAATAGTTTATATATGGCAGGCCAATGCAACACCAGGGAACTCGTCATTTTTTTCTTAAGTGGATAGCCTGATGAATAATCAACGTTGTTCTGTAATGTTATTTCCAGTGCCAGAGCGAGTTATTATTAATTATCTACAACTAGAGAAAGT